AAAACCCCAAAACCCCATGCGTCTAAATACGTCATCGAAATCGATTAAGCGTAAATAAATTAACCATTTACATTGTCTATAATTTTATCAAATCTCTAAAATAGCTATGGAATCAGCCCAAAGATCACTATCAATAATTAACAACCAATTCGCTTCAAACTAAACAATGAATGCTGGAAAAGTTCTTGACAAGAGTGACGATGATGTCGTTATTGTAGGAATGGCTAGAACTGCCATCACTAAAGGAAAGAGAGGTGCCCAAAAAGACACCGCTCCAGAACTCATGCTTACACCAGTCTTGTAAGCCGTCATCAAATAAGCTAATATCGATCCAAAGCTAGTTGAAGATGTTGCCATTGGGAATGTTCTTCAACCAGGTGCTGGTGCAACAACTTCAAGAATTGCTATGTTCCTTGCTGGTCTACCAGCTTCAAGCTCCCTTCAAGCAATTAACAGATAATGCTCATCAGGTCTTTAAGCCGTCATGTCAATTGCAAACGCAATTAGAGCAAGACAAATTGATTTCGGTATTGGAGGTGGTGTTGAATCAATGTCACTTTACTCAATGGAAGCAGGAGTTGATCCAAACACACTTTCAAGCAAAGCTTTCGAACATCCAGTTGCCCAAAACTGCTTAATGCCGATGGGTATCACCTCAGAGAATGTAGCTGAGCAATACAAAATTTCCAGAGAAAAGCAAGACCAAATGGCCTTTGAGAGTCATCAAAAGGCTGCTAGAGCAAACAAGGAGGGATGGGCTCAAAAAGAGATTACCTCATATAAAACAATGGTTAAAGATAAGGATGGAAACGAAAAAGAAGTTTTAGTAGATAGAGATGATGGAGTAAGAGCTGAGACTACCCTTGAAGGTCTCAAAAAGCTCAAGCCAGCTTTCAAAAAGGATGGAACCACTACTGCTGGTAACTCATCTCAAGTATCAGATGGAGCCTCTGCTGTCCTTTTGACTAGAAGAGATGTCGCTAAAAAGCTTGGATTAAAGGTTTATGGAAGAATTGTTAGTTATGCAGTAGCAGGAGTTCCACCCGAAATTATGGGAGTTGGTCCTGCTTACGCTATCCCAGCTGCCCTCAAGAAAGCTGGACTCGAAGTAAAGGATATTGATGTCTTCGAAATCAATGAAGCTTTCGCAAGTTAAGCTACCATGAGTATTGAAGCTTTAGGTGTTCCTAAGGAAAAATTAAACCCAAGAGGTGGTGCTATTGCTATTGGACATCCTCTAGGTAATACTGGTTCAAGATAAGTAGTTACTCTATTCCACGAGCTCGAAAGAACTGCCAAGAGATTCGGAGTTATCTCAATGTGTATTGGTACTGGAATGGGTGCAGCTGGAGTCTTTGAAAGAGAATGATGGATAAGAATAAAGTATCAATCTTCACGTACTAATTTTATTTTATCAAAATCTTTTCAACTAAAAATATCTTTTAAGCAACTAGATTTGTAAATGCAACTTTCCTGGGGTTTTGGGGTTTTGGGGAGATCGGAAGAGCACACGTCT